TGTCTGTCTGTCTGTGTGTCTGTCTGTCTGTGTCTGTCTGTCTGTCTGTCTGTCTGTCTGTCTGTTCGTTCGTCTGTCTGTCTGTCTGTTCGTCTGTCTGTCTGTCTGGTTCGTCTGTCTTTGTCTGTTCGTCTGTCTGTCTTCGTCTGTCTGTCTGTCTGTCTGTCTGTCTGTCTGTTCGTTCGCTGTCTGTCTGTCTGTCTGTCTGTTCGTCTGGTTCGTTCGTTCGTTCGTCTTCGTTCGTCTGTCTGTCTGTCTGTTCGTCTGTCTGTCTGTCTGGTTCGTTCGTCTGTTCGTTCGTCTGCCCGTCTGCTGTCTGTCTGTCTGTCTGTCTGTTCGTCTGTTCGTCTGTCTGTCTCGTCTGTCTGTCTGTCTGTCTGTCTGTCTGTCTCCGTTCGTTCGTTCGTCTGTCTGTTCGTTCGTCTGGTTCCTGTCTGTCGTCCGTCTGTCTGTCTGTCTGTCTGGTTCGTCTGTCTGTCTGTCTGTCTGTCTGTTCGTCTGTCTGTCTGTCTGTCTGTTCGTCTGTCGTCTGTCTGTCTGTCGTTGTCTGTCTGTCTGTCTGTTCGTCTGGTCTCGTTCGTTCGTTCGTCTTCGTCTGTCTGTCTGTTCGTTCGTCTGTCTGTCTGTCTGCTGTTCGTCTGTCTGTCTGTTCGTCTGTCTGTCTGTCTGTCCGTCTTTGTCTGTCTGTCTTTCTGTTCTGTCTGTCTGTCTGTCTGGTTCTTGGTCTGTCTGTCTGTCTGTCTGTCTTCTGTCTGTTCTGTCTGTCGTCTGTCTGTCTGTCTGTCTGTCTGTCTGTCTGTCGTCTGTCTTCTGTCTGTCTGTCTGTTCGTTCGTCGTCTGTCTTCGTCTGTCTGTCTGTCTGGTTCGTCTGTCTGTCTGTCTGTCTGTCTGTCTGGTTCGTCTGTCTGTCTTGTCTGTCGTTGTCTGTCTGTCTGTCTGTCTGTCTGTCTGTCTGTCTGTCTCGTTCGTCTGTCTGTCTGTCTGTCTGTCTGTCTGTCTGTCTGTCTGTCTGTCTGTCTGTCTGTCTGTCTGTCTGTCTGTCTGTCTGTCTGTCAGTCTGTCAGTCTGTCTGTCTGTCAGTCTGTCTGTCTGTCAGTCTGTCAGTCTGTCTGTCTGTCAGTCTGTCAGTCAGTCTGTCTGTCAGTCTGTCTGTTCGTGTCTGTCTGTCTGTCTGTCTGTCTGTCTGTCTGTTCGTCTGTCTGTCTGTCTGTCTGTCTGTCTGTCTGTCTGTCTGTCTGTCTGTCTGTCTGTCTGTCTGTCTGTCTGTCTTCGTTCGTCTTCTGTCTGTCTGTCTGTTCTGTCTGTCTGTTCGTCTGTCTGTTCTGTCTGTCTGTCGTCTGTCTGTCTGTCTGTCTGTGGTTCGGTCTGTCTGTCTGTCTGTCTGTCTGTCTGTCTGTCAGTCTGTCTGTCTGTCTGTCTGTCTGTCTGTCTGTCTGTCTGTCTGTCTGTCTGTCTGTCTGTCTGTCTGTCTGTCTGTCTGTCTGTCTGTCAGTCTGTCTGTCTGTCTGTCTGTCTGTCTGTCAGTCTGTCAGTCTGTCTGTCTGTCTGTCTGTCTGTCTGTCTGTCTGTCTGTCTGTCTGTCTGTCTGTCTGTCTGTCGTCTGTCTGTCTGTCTGTCTGTCTGGTATGTCAGTCAGTTGTTTTGGCGTTTGCTTTTTTAAAAATTGTAGGATGATTAATTTACTGTTTACTCGAACAAAATTCGATTTTAAACTGATTTGAAATTGAACTGTCTAGCGATATTTATTGGGTATATCAGGATTTGTTTTGCATGCAACCGGATGACGAGGCCACACCCACCCATGCGCACACCAAGCGCAAAAGACGGTTTTCGAATTTTCTAGAAAAGCTAGAAAGCTAGATAGAAAGTTCGGATTAAGCAGGTGGGTTTTTATGATGCCCCTTATGCGAATTATGCCTACATCCATTTCTCCCTCCACTTCCACTTAAACTCAAGTTAGACTCCTACCTCCACTCCTCCCTCCACTTGCACTTAAACTCAAACTAGACTCCTACCTTCACCCACCCTTAACTCACCCCCGACTCCTCCCTCCAGACAGTGTGTAGTATGTATAGTTATTACAAACTGTGAGCTGAAATGATAACGATTTACTCCACTCTTCCTCACCGCTGCAACATATACATCATCGTGGAAGGTTTTATATATTTTTTTCTCCAATAGTCGCTAAAATATTTATATAAATATTATTAAATATTCTCAGGACCAACGAGATGAAAGAATATTTTATGTGTAGTGTGTATGTGAGCTGTTAATTTTTTTGTTTTTGTTTCGTTTTATGTTGAAAACTATAACTATTTTTTTCCACGAGAGCACAGCCATATTTTGAATTTAATTAAATTTTGCTATGCTAAATAGAAAAGAATATTTTTTTGCCAGTGTCTCCTTCCCGCTTCACCAAGCATACGATCGTATGGAAGACTGTTAATTTTTTTTTTACACATTACGCAAAGGAATATTTTAAATATTAAAAATATCGCCAATGGACAATAAAAGGAACAATATTTTATTTGTTCCTCACGCTTTATCATACATACGATCGTGTTGAAGGCTTTAAATATTTTTTTCCTTTAAAATACAGTGCAATATTATATAAAATTTAAATATTTGCATGTACTCAGAGAAGAACTTATTATACCCGTTACTCGTAGAGTAAAAGGGTATACTAGATTCGTTGAAAAGTATGTAACAGATAGAAGTAAGCGTTTCCGACCCTATAAAGTAAATATATTCTTGATCAGGACCAATATCAAAGTCGATTGAGCGATGTCCCTCTGTCCGTCCGTCCGTCCGTCCGTCTGTCCATCCGTCCGTCCGTCCGTCAGTATGAACGCTGAGATCTCAGAAACTATAACAGATACAAAGTTGAGATTTAGCATGATGATTCTAAGGTCCCTGGACAGCGCAAGTTTCAGTATCCTGCCCCGCCCACTCTAACGCCCACAAATCACAAAAGTAACTAAATGTATAATCTTTCAATGCCAGCGCATCTTATAGTGATATTATTATCCGGCCTTACCCTCCCATACGCCCACCAAACTCAAAAACTGTTTTCGCATTTTCTAGAAAAGCTGATATCTCGGTAACTATAAGTGATAGAAAGTTCGAAATAAACATGTGGGTTTTTATGCTCGATTCGATCAAGCCACGCCCACTTTAACGCCCACAAAACCTAAAAACCAAAAATACGAATATCTCGGGAATTATAAGAGCCTGAAAGTTGTGCTTAAGAATACGTATTAAGAAGATGCCACTGCAATTTGCCTTTAGTTTTCATTTGGCCACGCCCACTCTAACGCCCACATACCGCGGAAAACTGTGTGTCCATAATATTATAGTGTATGTTTTCGTTTGAACTTGTTTAACATATTTTTGTCAATATATATCGGTTTAAAAGAAAGATTTTTCAAATCGGAACATTTCAATCACTGTAACGACGTACCTCTTTTGATGGAGGGTGAGCGTTCTTCTTATTTTGAGAACATCCTCCGTATACCTCCTGCTGTTATGGTGATGGTTCTGGTTGTTGCTATTGTTGTTGAGCCATTTTATCCTGGTTTGTTTTTTTTAAGAATTGTAGGACAATTGCTTTACTGTTTACTCGAACAAAATTCGATTTTAAACTGACTTGAAATTGAACTTTTTAAGCGCTGTCGTATCTTTGTGTAATGCCATACTTCACATAATCATCGTCATCCTCGTCATCGTTGGTTTCGTAAGCGTCAGTGGTACTGTACTTATAATAGCTGCAACGTACCTCTTTTGATGGAGGCTGAGCGTTGTTTTTTTTAAAAATTGTAGGACAATTGATTTAGTGATTACTCGAACAAATTTCGATTTTAAGCTGACTTGAAATTGAACTGTCTAGCGATATTTATTGGATATATCAGGATTTGTTTTGCATGCGACCGGATGACGTGGGTGGGAAACTAGTTGGCTCAAAAGTGATTGGTTATCTGGGGAATTTTCATTGGTTTTTTCCGGTTTCCTTTCATTATATAACAACGGATGTGTGGTTGCGGTTTGATTTAACTTAAAACGCATTTATTGTATTCATTTCACAACAATATTAAAAAGCATTTATTTATCATCTTATAGAATGGTCATTATAAACATTAGAATATTCATTATTGTTATTTATATATATATTATTTTTACACTTGACGCAATTAGTATAACAAGCATTCATACATTGAAATAGTGCAAATAACATTAAAATTAACATAAACGCTAACAATAATAAAAACGAAATGTTTACAAAAAATTTACTATATTCAGGCATTATTGGTGTACGTCATCAAACTGACCAAGTTACTCGTAGAGTAAACGTGTATATTAGATTCGGTGAAAAGTATGTAACAGGTACAAGGAAGCCTTTCCAAACCTTTAAAGTATATATATTCTTGATCAGTGTCAATAGCGAAGACGATTGAGCCATGTCCGTCTGTCTGCCCGTCTGTCCGTATGCACGCTGAGATCTCAGGAACTATAAGAGACAGGATTTTGGGATAAAACATGAAAATTCTTGAGGTCTATACACAGCGCAAGTTTTTACCGCATCCTGTCACGCCCACACGCCCACAGATCACGAAAAACTAAAATCGCTTAAATCTCACGAACTATTAGAGCTAGTAAGTTGAAATTCAGTATGTATAATATTGCAATTAAACTTTTGGAAGTAAAATACCTTTGTCATATAACATAATAATATATATAATAAGAGTGTCACCTAACTAAAATAAATAATATAAATAATTGTAAATAATTAAAACTTAATCATAAATTACGTAGACTAATATATAATATATAACTACAGATGTATATGTGCAAATTATATTTTTAAGATGTGAGTTTGATGTTGATGACTACATCACATTTAGATGCCGTTTGCCACCATTCAGGGGCCTTTAGTCCATATGTTAATAAATTACTAACTAAAAAATTGCCCAATGTTTTTTATGTTTTGATATGAATTTTTTTCAGATCAACCAATTTGAAAAGTCTATTCACACTGGAGAATTGCAAATTCGTGAACATCAACAGTTTTGGATAATGTTGCAGAATCACTTTGTTAATCTGTCACAAAAAAGAAGTGATCAGCTAAATGAAATTCAAGTAACACGAAAACGTAAGTATCTCTAGGTTTACTTAGTTAGCTCGACATCGGCAATGACCGATTGACTAATGACTCGTGCATAGCCGGTATCGTCAGGGTACTTTCGGGGCCACTATAATATATAGAAAGTATTTAAAAAGTTAGAACGTATGTAACAGGTAGAGGGAAGCGTTTCCGATCCTATAAATTATATATATTCTTGATTAGTATCAATAGAGAAGTCGATTAAGCCATGTCCCTTTGTCCGTCCGTGCGAATGAACGCTGATATCTCCGGGACTATAAGAGACTATAGCGTTTCTTGTTTGTTATAGTCTGTCAGTCTGTCAGTCAGTCAGTCTGTCAGTATATTTCCGGCCCTATAAAGTATATATATACTTGATCAGTATCAATAGCGAAGTCGATTAAGCCATGTCCGTCTGTCCGTTCGTCCGTCAGTCCGTACATCTGTCTGAACGCTAAGAACTCAGAAACTAATAGAGTTGAAGAGCTGAAATAAGTTTTCTATATATATAATATATATATATATATACATATAGCATCCTGCCAGCGCCACGCCCACCGAGTTCGAAGTACGGGTTTCGCTTCTTGTAGAAAATTTGAATTAAGCATGTAGTTTCTAATAATGCCCCCAATGCGTGTTATTTTTTCACCATTAAGCGGCAACAAAATGCGAAAAATTAAAAAAGAATACTTCGTTATGGACCACTGAACAGAACAACACGCGATTGAGAGACGCCTACTTAATATTTTTATATTTTTTTATTGTTACTATAGACTTTTTTGTTCTTCTCAAACGACAACACTTTTATCAGACTATTAGCAATAAAAACTTGGATAACAGAAACAAGAAAAAACAAGAGGAAACGCTATAGTCGAGTGCCCCGACTATAAGATACCCGTTACTGTTTTACAAAATTTTAAAATATTATTTTGCTAGTGGAAATTCACAAGCCGCCACCTATTGTCAGAGAAAGTATGTTGAGTATGCCTTTAGTGACGTCACTGCCCATGTGAGGCCTTATAACTTAATTTCTTTATACATAGCGAAATAATGTTCCGATTTTAAAAATTTTTGGTAAATCGATAGATATTAACTGAAATAAGTTACAAAAGGTCAAACTAAGGCATTCATAAAAATATTACAGACGCCACAGTTTTCCGCGGTTTGTGGGCGTTAGAGTGGGCGTGGCCGGATGCAACTTCGTGGCAAGTTGCAGAGGTATCTACTAAATACGTGTTCCTAAGATTAAGAAGAATTGTGTAGATCTTATAGTTTTTGAGATTTTTGCATTTTTGGTTTTTCGGGTTTTGTGGGCGTTAAAGTGGGCGTGGCTTGATCGGAAAACAATTCGCATTGGGAGCATCATAGAAACCTACATGCTTAATTCGAACTTTCTATCTCTTATAGTTACCGAGATATCAGCTTTTCTAGAAAATCCGAAAACCGTCTTTTGAGTGGGCGTGGCAGGATACTGAAATAAACTTGCGCTGTCTCGGGACCTCAAGAATCTTCATGCTTAATCTCAACTTTGTATCTGCTATAGTTCCTGAGATCTCAGCGTTCATACGGACGGACGGACATGGCTCAATCGACTTCGCTATTGATCCTGATCAAGAATATATATACTTTATGGGGTCGCAAAAGCTTCCTTCTATATGTTAAATACTTTTCAACGAATCTAGTATACCCTTTTACTCTACGAGTAATGGGTATAACAAGGAGTGGAGTTTGAAGCCGGGACTAGCAGAATAACCACACGAGCCGAAAAATGCAGCCCAAATAAATCAATATTATGGGTGCGGGCATAAATGAGGCCACACTAAGACATCAAAGGCCGTGTTCCTTCAATGTTCCGGCCTTCCAGTGTAAAGAGGGGAACCCGCTCTCCCTCTATCCTTTTATATTCATCTCTGTCCATAGCATAAGATAATTTAAGTGAAATAAAATAGTTAACATTCGAACTCCCTACCGTTAGCACGTACCGTGCCCTGTCGTAGTAGAATACATTCACTAATTCGGAAGTACCAATTAAGCCCTGCATTTCACAAGTTTTCGTTTGTTTAATATAAACTCATATTAAATATTCATGGTGACCCCGACGTGATTGCAGGTATTGTTTTCTGTATTTAAAAAAAAAAAAAACAATAAACAAGTGTTCAATATAAACCTCCGCGTCGGTCTAACTTACGCAGCAGCCAGTCAGAAACCCACTAGAAAAAATAATATACATGCAGCCAAAGAGGGAAGTGGCTGAGCAGACTGAATCGGCTATACAGGCATAGAATGTTTAATGCTGAAAGTTAATCTGTGGCGTTTTTCTAAATCATTTCGGCCCATCTTTCAACTATTTGCATTCGTGTAAAATCGGTAGATTGTGAGCATTCCAGCCAATAATTTAACACAAATAAAGTTGCATGTACTAACAAATTATTTTATTTGCCAACTTGTGTTTTAATTCCCCAACTTATCGTAGTGAGCACCAATTTAAGGTTCAATTTCAAATTGCGGGACATTGTTGCGCTCATTTTCTGTCCAAAATTTGGCGCGTGTCTGCCATTTTCCTCAACGCTATTTTCTTGGGACTTTGCATCCCGCTTATATATTCGTTGTCTTTTTATTTATCGGCCAGTGCATCACTCGCTGCCAGTTCTTTCGACCTCCCTTTGCATTTTCGTTTCGTTTGTTGGACAAGTGCAAGCGTTGTTGTTGTTTTGCACAGGGTTTTCGGTATTTTGGCTGAATTTGTGCTACCCTTTAAATTTTGTGCTTCGGTTGGTGCCGGAATTAAATAAAATATTTTTTTTTTTTTCGAAAATTCATGGGTCCCTGTTGCCTCTTTGAATAAACCACTCGTTAATTTTTTATTTTTATTTTTTTTTCGAAATCAACATAAACGAGATGGAATAATGAGGAGTATATCCCAAACACAGCAGTATTTACAAGAGTCTAGTTGAATTAGAATGTCGATTAGAAATTTTGAATTCGCACATTGAAAATGCTTCTTTGATAAAGAATCAAATCGAAGTAATAGACTAAGAGGATTTGTTCCGCGAGGAACTGGAAGAAACTGCCGTAATAGCAAAATAATTACTAATTTCGCTAATAAGCAAAGGTAGGCGTATGAGCGCAGATGATGCTGTTTCGCCAGTGAAGCGCTCTTCCCAATGCCGTTTGCCGAGCGTTGCTCTTCCAACCCTCATCGGAAAGGACTCCGAATTTAATGTATTAAAAAATTAAATCATTATATTATATATCGTGTCTGGCTGGCGACGCTTTAATCACAGTCAGATTAATTATCCTAAAGCCCTGGCTAGCCTGTAGCGGGAGTACAATTGTCAGATTTTCTTCGACAATATATCGACACTTTCAATCTGCCAAAAGCTTTTAGCTAGAGCATTGAGAAACCTGATCGACACAGTCAGAGCTCTTTATGACTCTTATGATTGGGGGTGACAAACGAATAACAAATGCCATCCTCATTAATTTAATAATGAGCAAAGTCGATGCAGCAACGCAGAAAAAGTGAGAAGAACAGTTGGACTGCACTTCGCTTTCCCTTTTGGAACGAATGTGAGTCGGCTTTGGATAGGCAATACCAGCACATGGTCGCCGAAGAGGCTTCCAAGCCCAAATATGTTCAGCCCAACGACGACCCCGCCTTATGTGTGTTTTGCACCTCGGAAGAACATCAAATAGGAAAGTGCATTTTTTTCGCTTCCCTAAATGTGCAGCAGAGGTTCGATTTTGCTTAAAAAAAAGGGCCTAAAAAGTGCCCGTATGCATTAACTGCCTTCGTAAGGGTGACACTGTTAAAAATGCAAGTCGAACAGGTGCAGGTGCACACAATAGTGAAGTCGCGAATAGGAAGCAGTCAGTTGTCGTCCGATTTTTATGTTTTAAAAAATATTTCTGTTTATCATCCGGATCAAGTGGTGAACACCAGCGGGTTGATGGTACCTGAAAAAATTCAATTGGCAGATCCATTCCTCTTCAAAATCCGAAAAATTGACATGCTTATCGGAGCAGATTCATTCTATGAAATATTTTCAGTTGGCCGTATAAAGCAGGGGCCTGAACTTCCCATTTTATAAAAAACTGTTCTCGGCTGGATAACGAAATAAAGACAGAAAATTACATCTCAGCTGTCAGGAAGAAGCGTTGGAGTCAATCGACACCACCCTGCAGAAATTTTGGTCTGTGGAGGACTCGGCAGCTAAGGCTAAGCCATACTCCTGAGCAGCAACTTTGTCAACAACACTTTGAGAAAAATACTCAAAGACAGTCTTCTGGGAGATTTTCGGTTCGTCTGCTGTTAAAATCTGACCAAAATACTCTGGGTTCGTCGTATGAAGGTGCGAAACGTAGATTTTTGTCGCTTGAAAGGAGATTGTCAAAAGATCCTTCTTTAAAGAAAATGTATTTGAATTTCATGGAGGAATATGTATCAATGGGCAACATGTCCTCTACAAATGATAAAATTCCAGATGGCCCACACTATTTCATTCCGCACCAATACGTACTGCGGCCGCAAAGCACCTCGACCAAAGTGAGAGTGGTGTTCGATGGCTCAAGCCGGACATCGACGCAGGTTGCGTTGAATGACATCTTGATGGCAGGCCCCACGGAATGCACAATTTTGCGCTTGCAGCGGAGCTGACCGAAACATCCAGCTCATATCGGAGGGATGCACAATCTTTGAGTCTCTGAAGACCTTCGGAGCTGACATATGGAACTTCGCTAGCTCCTTTTAATGCGATCCGGTTTTTAATGCAGCTTTCAGAGATGGCTCAAGCTAAGTATCCAAATCCAGCGAGTAGTGTGTTTTCGCTGGTTCTGGCACAGATTTATGGGCTATTAACCTGACACATTAGTTATTAAAACATGGGTCCCCCACCCCGAAATCTATTATTCGTCGTCTCCTGTGATTAGGATTTCCCCTCATCACGCCGCATGTGTGTCATGATTACTTTTCCGAACCCCCTATCCGTTATTTGAGAATATTGAAATGT